CTGGCTGCTGAGAGCCCACCCCTCTGCTGTGCCCGGAGCGGGCCTTGGAGCCCCAGGCAGGGCTCTGCAGCACCCTGGCAGTGCAGAGCTACGTGAGGGAGGGCAGGCGTGCCCGGCGCACCCCCCAGGCCTTGCACAACAGAGGTTTATTTGGAACGAATGGTTTCCCAATAAATTATGTAATTTAAAAATTTTAAGGAAAAGAAAAAAAAAAGGCAGAAGGGAGCAGAGCCTGCAGCAGCTCAGCCGGTGCACAGGGACTGCGGGGCCACGCGACACCCTGGGCTGAGCCCAGGCACTGGCAGAGGCTCTGTGACCACAGTCTCCCTCCCCTTGTCTCTGGCCTCCCCTTGGCTGAGGCCAAGTAGCCCCACAGGCCTCTTAGTGTTTGAGCAGGACAGGCCACTCTTGTACCCTCAGTTATCAGCCTCAGGGGTGTCCCCTCCCTACCTGTGTGTGACCCTGGCACTGCAGGCCCCCATCACAGCCCCCCAGCTGTTTCTCTGGCCCCCAAGGTGCATTTCTGACTCCTTCCAAACCTGCACCCTCCTGTAGCACTCTGGGGAGAGGGCGATAGATGCCATCCAATGGCGCCCAGTCACCCGGCCTGTCCTACCCCCAGAACAGTCTGCAAGCTGGGCTGGTGGGACAGGAGCCACGTCCTGCTCTGTGCCAGGCACAGGACAGCATGGGAGGAGCAGAGTGCAGCTCATGGCCCTGCCTGACCTTAGCCACTTGGAGCCACCTGCCCAAGGGAAGCTGGACACAGAGGAAGGGAGAGGAGAGCCAAGGCAGAATGTGGGATGCAGGGACAGACCTGCATGCCAGGCCCCTGCACCCTGGGAGGGAAGGGAGAGGGGAAGGCCCAGTCAAAGAGAAGAGGTTGAACGTCCAAACAACTTTCCTGGGACAGCACGGTCCACAGCACAGTGATGGCATCAGGGTTGGCTGCTCTGGCTGTGTGGCAGAGAGTGGCACATGTCCCACACCAGTCTGGGGTGGTGTACACACCAGCAGGCATACCTGGCACTGGAGGGATGCAGCATGCCACAATGTCCAAGAGTACCAGTCATCCCCACCCTTCTCCACAGCAGCTCCAGGGAGATAGGGGTGACATGGAGAGAAGCATGACTCAGGGAACTGGTGACACTGCCACAGGACGATGGGTGCTGGCACAGTGCTCGGCTATCAACAGATCCAACAGGCTCCAGTGGTGGATGGCAGTGCAATGAGTGCGCAGGTCCTCTGCAGCATGGGGTATGGCATGGGAGGGAGGGGGAACATGTCCCTTCCAACTGTAAACACGGCACTTGGAAAGCTTTGAGCCTTTACCCCTCAGAGCTGTGAGAGGCCCGGCTGGAGCACGGGCCCTGGCTTTGGCACACGGCAGGAGTCACTCCTCATCTCCGGTGAGCAGGAAGCTGCAGAGGAAGTTGATGGCACGCTGGCGGTCCTGCGGGGTCTGTTTGGCCATTAGGTTGGGCGGAGGGCGCAGGAGGAGGCTGGAGAATAGGGCAGCTGCAGAGGCAGGTAAAATCAGTCACTGGTGAGGAACAAAGACTTTGGAAGGTGCACAAAGGGGCTGGAATGGAGCAAGGGCAGCAGGAGTGGAGCACAGCAACAACACTCACCAATCATGGTGACACTGACGTTGTTGTCCTCCGAGTACCTGAGCAGCTCCCGGAGGAAGGACATTAGGTACCGAAACACACTGCGGTGGCAGCGAGGCAGCTGAAGGATCACCTGCAGGGAAATGGTGTCAGGAAGCTCTCCCAGCTGCCATCACTGCAGCCTAGGCATGTGCAGCACTCCATGCTCCACAGCAACAACCCCTGGCTGCAGTCCAGTGCCGATGGCACTTGTGGACTGTGGCTCCTGGTGACACTGCTTCTAGGTAAACTGTCACCAGGAAAAAGCCCCCACTGCCCTGGAGCTGCTTCGTGCTTGTTTCCAGTCAGATCCCAGCACTCATGGCCCCAAAACTTCCCCCTCTGGCCAAGGACATGCTTGCCCTGCCAGCTGTTAAGAGCCACTCATGGTCCTCCAGGGAAGGACAGGAATTGTAGCTCTGAGCAGGTGCTCAAGCCCTCAGGACTAGGGGTGGCTTGTCCCTTCCCTCAGGCTGCTGTTCTCCACGTGCTCGAGGTAACACAGAGCTCATCTGTGGTCACTTTGGAAGAGCTGCTGCTCCCAAAGCCACTCGCCAGCCCTGGGGAAGGGAGTGGGACCCAGGCAGGCCCAGGGCCATGGCAGAGGCCATGGCAGCAGGAGAGCTGCCCTGAGCCCATGGCCAGTGCAGGGGCTGGCAGCAGCCCCACATACCTGTCGACACAGGCGGCTGTTGTGTGACCACTCCAGGCACCGCTGGTACAGCTCGTAGCAGATCACGGGCTCCGGCAGAGCCTCCAGGAAGATGAGGAGAGCTTCAGCCACAGAATGATTACTGCCCGCTGGTCCACTGGGAATCAAGGGCCATGCTGAGCAGAGGGACCCCTTCCCTTCCCAGGTGCACCCTGCCTCTCCTCCTCCCCAGGTGTTCAGCTCTACTTCCTCCTTGGAAATTGTGCCTAACTGCTCCTCCTCCTCCTCTGCTGTCCCTCATCCATGAAAAATGCTGTTCCATCCACCCTGCATTGTGTTTCCTCCTCCTCCGGCCCCACAGAAGCCCCTTATCTATTAGCTTCTTGTCCAGACCACGTCTCCAGTATTCCAGCTCCTGCGCTTGGCACAACGCTGAGGAAGCTTCCATAGCTCTGGCCCTGTGGCTGCTTTGGCCAGCATACATCCAGCTTCCAGAGAGGTTGTGGAGGGGCTGAGGGGAGCCCACTTCCCCCAGGGACTTTGCCAGGTGAAGGTGATAGACAAGTTCTTCCAAGGGCAAGCTCTCCCAGCAGAGCTGGGATCCAGCAGGCAAGGATACGGATTGTCTCAGGTATGTTGGTGTCCAGGCATTCAATGATCTGCTCCAACTCTTCCTGCATGCCTGGAGTCTGGAACAGGTCCTCCTGCCAAAAACAGCACAAGGATGAACAAAGTCACCTTCCCCACAAAGGCTGAGGCACATGATGACTGTGGGGTGAACCCTGGGACCTCCAGCCAGTGCCTCGAGCACAGGCAGAAGCCCTGCCCTGTAAACACCAAACTGGAGCTGATCTCCAGGTGCTTGTGAGGAAACAGGTCACTAGGACAGTTCCTAGCATGGTAGAGGCCCTCTCCCTCACCTGGTGACAGGCATGCTTGAACAGGTGATCCACCAAGAGCCAGATCTCCTTTGGCACCTGCAGCGGCATCTCACCTGCGTCTTCACTGTCCAGGGAAACCATGTGCAGGACGGATTTCTCCTGAGGACAAAGAGCACACAAGGGCTCAGGGAAACCTCAGTCTCTTTGTCTCAGTCCCTCAGCTCCTGGTAGAGGAAGCTGGAACAAGGGAAACAGCAGGATCCCAGACTGCTCAGGCCCTGACTCATGCTCTGGCCCTGACTCACCTTCACAGCTCCATAGGTCCCAGTTCTGCTCTCTCCCACTGCCCCACGGAACAACCTGCCTGGTCCCCCTGACAGCCCCAACCCCACAGGAGGGGTGTTCTGGCTGGCCAGGGTGGCCTGTGCCCATCCCAGCTTCCACCCTGCAGCCAACATAGGTGCGGACCCAGTGTGTCCTTGTGCTGCATGAGGTTCACACTGGGTTAGATCCAGCCCCCATGCCCTGTCATCCTGCTGATCCCATGTCTTCCTCAACTCCAGTGTGCTCCAGCCACAGCTGCTGTCAGAGCTCTAGAACAGTTATGATTTCTGAAGTTTCTTCCCTGATTTTCCCAAGAAGAGGTCTCACTGAGCACACATCACCACTGTCACAGTTCCCGCTTACACATGCAGAGCAGCTGACGAACTCCAGCTCAGACATCTCCATCACATCGAGCTTTTACGGGATCAATGTTCTCAGCTTGATTTTACACTCACTTCACGATCACTCACATTCCTGTGAGGTGCAAGGAGGAAGCCATGCCCAGCACTCCCAAAGCACCCAGAGAACAGCACAAGCAGGAACATAACCCTGGCCACCAGCAGAGGAGCCCACAAGCCACACACGAAGTATTTCCCTCCAGCTGGCAGCCAAGGTGGCAACTGACATCGCTGTCCCTGCAGCACACACGGTCACTTGCAGCAGCCAGGGCTGGGGTTGGCTTTCACCACTGAATGCAAAGACACTCTGGGTTGGCATGAGCCCTGGCAGCACAGGCAGTAGCCCGGCTGCCCACACGGCACAGCGTTGTGGCTGCACAGCTGCCTCGCTCAGCGATGTGAACTGGAAATGTTGGGAACCACAGTAAGGCAAGAGCAATACAGAATTCCTCCAAGAAGGAAAAGGGGAGAGCTGCAGACCCCCTCCCAGAGCTGTGGACCCTCTCCTAGGGCTGAGGGCTCTTCTACAGAAACCTCCCTTGGCAGTGCATCACAGTGCTGGAGCTGAGTGTTGGAGAAGCCCTTAGCACGACTGGGAGAGCTGCTAAGAACCCCCAGGCAGGAGACCCCAGCTGCTCAGAGCAGAGGAGCAGGAGAAGTAGGAGGAGGAGGAGGAGGCTCGGGGCTTGTCAGAGTGCAGGAGAGGGAAGAGGAAGAGGAGGAGGCGGCGGCCACAGAGGTGCGCGCGTTGGCCAGGTCCCGAGCGCCCTCTTCTGCCATGTGCGAGAAAGGGAGGCATGGCCGTGTCCTTCCCACGGGAAGATGCTCCCAAAAGGCACCAAATTCCTCCCTTCTCCTCTGTCAGGAAGGAGTCTGGGAGCTTCATCTGGTTCAACACCCAAGTCCAATCCTCTCTTGGAGAGGGGACATGCCTTGCCCCTTCTGCTTTACCCTGTCACTGCAGTGCACTGCCAGGCCAGAGAGGGACAAGTCTCTCAGCCATGAAAGCCAATCCAGAGCCAGCTCAAACAAGTTACAGATGTCAGAGCTGGCACAGGGAGAGCAGAAACACCCCCAGCATCTCCCACGTGCTCTCCCAAGGACATGTTTTCTTTGCTTGGCTCCAGCACAGAGCATGGGTGCCAAGGGAAGCAGTGATTCCACTTGGGCACTGTGGCCATCGGAGCTGCAGCCCCAGCTCCACTGCTTGAGGGGGCACATAAACATCCACATCCTGCACAAGGCCCTTCCTCGGCCTCCATAGGGACACAAGATGGAAGGAGAAAAAGATCTGTTTCCTACTCCAACCCTCTCCCCACAGGTCTGAGAGGGTGCTGTGCTGAACCCCACCTTATATGCATGGTCAGAGCTAACTCCACTATGTCAAAGGCTGCCAGTCTTTTCTGGGAATATCCAACACTGCTGCCAGGATCAGGAGAGTAATTTTTACCCCCCCAAGCAAATTTGGTGAGCTTTAACATCTCAGTTGGGCTTGGCTCCGGGGTCACTGTGTGCTCCTCTGTGTTCTCATCCAGCCCACAGCTGTGCTAAGAGGCTTTGCTAGCAGCCATGTCCCCTCTGTGACCCCCTCCCCTTCCCTCTGCCACAAAAAACACGAGAAAAGCTCTTATTCTTTACAAACACACCACTGAGAAGCAGACTGCCCAGCAATTGCTTGTGTTACCTTTTCTAAGAAGCTGTCTTCTCCCTGAGAGCAGTGGGAAAGAGAGAAGAGGAAAAAGTGTGGTTAAGAAGGCACTCAGGGATTAAGCAGAAGTGTAATTTGCATTACAAGAACCCACTGAACACCAGGTCCTTCACACACTTTGCTAACATGGCCAAAGTTAGACCTGTGGCAAGAGATTTGCCTGCCAATTAGCAACAATCCTACTCACATGATGCACAACCTCCCAAGGGGCCTTGCACAGCGCCGTGCACTGGCCAACAGCTGGGCCACAGGCAAGCGTGACATGTCTGCCAGGAAGAAGCTCCCTCGGTCAGGAATCAATGTCCCTGTTATTTCAGCCATCTTCCCTTGTGACCAGGCTGGAGATCATAGAATCAGCCGGGTTAGAAGAGACCTCAAGGATCATCAAGTCCAATCCCACTGTCGTTACTAGACCATGGCACTAAGTGCCACATCCAGTCTCATCTTGAAAACCTCCAGGGATGGTGAATCTACCACC